AATATAATTATTATCGACAGAATTTCGTAGCCACATTTATAATTGTAGTAGCTTATATTCGACAGCCATTAGCTGTCGATTAAACTGTTTAATCGACAGCCAGTAGCTGTCGAATATAACTGGACAAAATTATAAATCTGGCTGTCAAATTCTGTCGATAATCAGTATATTCGACAGTAAAATTCTGTAGATTAAACTTGTTTAAACGACAGAGAAAGTTGCTGTCGAAGATAATGATTATCGACTACAGTATATTCGACAAAAAAAGTTGTCGAATATGTCTATCGATTAAATTATAATCAACAGAAACTCATTCATATTCGACAGGGACTTATGTCGAATATACTACTTTTTCCAGTAGTGTCTCTTTTATCATTATTCTTATTAAAACCACATAAATATACTTCAAACTTATTTGATAGGACTCTTTTGTATCAATTTATAATTGGTTTAGGCACTTAAAAATATCAATATAAACCCTAATTTTAGATAAAAATGGTCTCTACACTCCAAAAAAAAAGCATATGAATTGTTGAACTCAGTGCAAAAAATTTTAGATGCTGATTTTTGCGAAACAGTTTGGAACAAATTTATTCTAGAAAAGGTGAGCTTCTTTGCTTGGAGATTCTTAGACAGACTTCCAACAAAGAAGAATTTGAGCAAGCAAAGGATTCCAATAGATGGAGGTATAGTGCACTATGTTCGATGTGTGGGAAGAATGAGGAAGATTTAGATCATTTGATCTTTCAATACGCATTTGCGCAGAAAGTGTGGATGAAGATATTAGCCTGGCAAGGTGTCCAAAGTGCATTAATGGGTTTTGTCAAGGAGGCATTTTGGCAGCTAGTCCACGGGTGGCAGAATGATAAGTTCAAGGTGATTTGGTCCCTTATATTTATATCAGTTACCTAGCATATTTGGGGAACGAGAAACGGACTGATCTTTCAAGCAAAAAAGACTGGTGCAGATGGTTTGGCCGGATTATACTGACCAAATCCTTGCTATGGTTAAAGGATTCAATTAATGGTTGTGGGTTCTCTTTATATTATTGGATTTATAATCTTGAATTATGTGTTAAATTAGTAGGTATGTAACTATATCATGTCTTTTTTACACTAATAAAATTGGATGTAAATGGGTAAAAATACCTTTTATACTCCAAATTAATAAAATTTATTTCGTTGATAAAAAAATATAAATCCTAATTTTAAACTGTTAAATAATATTATAGATATTAACTATTTTATAGACTAGAGTATCAATTAACAACCAAAGCTATTAATTATTGTGACAATCAAACCAAATACAATTACAATAATTTTGGGGTCACCTTAACAAATGTTTTTGAGGCTGGCCAATCATCCTGTTTGAACTTTTTTTCTTTTTTTCTTTTTTTTTTTTCGCTACGCCCCAAATTTCAATTAATTCTGATATATAAGTTGCCTCTATGTTACAAATAACCTAAATAATTCAATGATAATCTCTTTATGCTAAAAATAAGAGATCCTGAATTCAAGTCGCATAATATGCGGATGGAGTGAAATAAGAGATGAAAAAAAATTGTTTCACATTGTACAATCAACATAAAAAAAAAAAAAAAAGTTGCCTCTATGTTTGAACTTAGTTGATGTTACACCCAAACACAGTTTTTGAAACGGTTGTACACAGTATAAATTTGACTACTTAATACATTATTTTATTAAGTATCAAAACTCATTTGGTCGAGATATCACCTATAAAACCGATTCGAACCGTTGATTCCGACGCCATCTTTGCGTTTTGTCCGTGAGATCAGATATCTGGCGGATGAGATTTGATTTTTTTATATTAATAGGAATGTGTTCACATGTTTGGTTAATTTGCTTGATGTTAACGGCATTTTAATAACAAAGATTTTAATTGAATGGACCATAATCATATTCCCCCCCCCCCCCCTTTCTGTTTAAGGGTTACAATTTGAGGGTGAAGAAAAGGAAATATTTACATAGTATTACCATCATTCGAACCTTGATATCAATTAAGGCATTGAGTGTATTAATTATCTGACTTATAAGGTTTCGGTGCATATTTCTTTTTAATTTCATGAAATAATTAATTATCATATATGTTATCATATCTTTGCATGTTTAATAGTATAAAAAACGAGTAGTAATATAAAGAATAAAAATTTAAAATTAATGATGTGATATAAATCATATTATTAAATGAGTTAATATATAAAATATTATGTCTTAATAAAAGTGTAAAAAAATAATTATTAAATAATATAAATTTTATTTTTTAATATTTTAAATGATGTAATATATATTATATCATTAATCTTAAATTTTTTATACAATTTATCATTATTTATAAAAAAAAACTATAATCTTCGTGTGTGTTTGCCACAAAAAAAAAGAAAAAAGAAAAAAATTAATGGATAATAATAAGGGGAGGCCCAAATTGAATGAGCCTCATTGATAATCTTATATCCATTTTCTGACCTTATATTTTAAATAAATATATATATATATATATAAAAGGTCAGAAAAAGACAATTGAATATTATTCCATTGTCTGTTTCCCTTTGGATAATTTGTTGTCTGTTTCCCTTTGGATAATTTGTTGATTTTTTTTTTTTAAATAAATAACTTAGGTTGATCTATTTTTTGGTGGAAATATCTTAACATGATCTGAATTTTATGGATTCAATTTCAATCTAAGATGGTGTCGTGGGTCGCCCAACTTTTGTACAATTCTTACCAGTATGACTGTTTTTTTTTTTTTGAACACTGAGAAATTTGGGGATGAAAGTTTTTTTAAGTTATTAATGGGATTCAAATTTTCAATCAATTAAATCCAAACACTTAAGATTCGAGAATGAACTACTGGACTTGAAGATTTGATTCTCTTACGAGTATGATTTAAGCCCATCTAATCCCTAAAAAGGAATAATTAATTAGAAAAAAAATGCAAACTACACTTGACTTTTTAGGTCAAATGATTACAAAATATGTTGAATGGTGCACCCCTTAATTTTTGGGTTGGGTTTGAATTTCTCCGTACCATAAAAAGTTGTAACTTGTTAAAAAGAAAAAAAAAAAAGAAAAAGAAAAAAGGCAAACTATGTTTTAGTACCAGTATACTCTATGTTTGTGAACTACACCTTTACAATAA